CAAGGTAATTCTTTTTTAAATTTAGTAGTTAATAAAGAACTTCTTTGAATTACAGCATTGATTCTATTAAATAAATAAGAACACTCTTCACGAATAGCATTTCCCATAATATCAATCCAACAAATAATCATTTTTTCAAATCTACTAACACCAAAAATCATCCAATCTTTAGAAACATTAACGTTTTTAGAATCTTTTTCAATTCCATCAAGAACTTTAGTAAAATTTTCAAAAGTAGTTTGAAAATCACAAATATAAGGAGTAAAAGCAATATAATCTTCCATAAATTGACTAATTTGTTGAATTCTTGAAAAAATCATTTGTAACATAACTTCATTACTACAATGAGTAATAATTAATGACCTTCCTTCTAAAGTATAGAAAGGTTCTCTTGATTGTAAATCAAATACATCACTTTCTTTTTGTTTACATAATTCAAGAAAAGTACCTAATTTAATAAATAAATCAATTCCAAATGTTCTCATAAATCCACCTGAAATCATAATTTTACAAATAATTTGAATATTATTTTCATTAATATCTTTTATTCTTTTAAGTATTTTAATAAAACAACGAAGTAATTCACAATGTGTTATTTCCATTGCATGAACACAAATACGACAATTTACTATATCTTGTTCATCAAATGGAATCTTAACTTTACTACATCTTGTTTCGTCTTCAAAAAAGAAAATACTATGTTTATAACATTTTAAAACAACTTGTCCAAATTTTGTTTTCAATTCTTTTTCACCTTTTGTTTGTTTCCAAAAATCTGCTTTAGGAATTATCTCATTTAAAAGAATTAAAACATCTTCTTCCATTAATGTTTCATTAATATCTTTTTCTTCTATCATTTCATGTGCTAAATCCATTAATGGTATTGGAATAGTTTCTTCAAGTGAAATTGGTTCAGTTTCATTTCTTTTTAATACAGGTGATATTTTAATAACATCCGCTAATTTTTTAATTGTGTTTCTTCTTCTTGGTGATTCATTTTCATTTGCTCCTTCATTTAAAAATAATGGACTTGACTTTTTATCAAAAGACGCATTTCTTGTTTGTGAAAATGTACGACCCCTCTTTTTAAATGTTGGTGATAATGGTCCTGTATTACTTACAGGTTCAAGGTATGCTTCTTGACTACTATTCCCTTTTGGTACACTCATTTTATTTGTTCAGTTTAAATTTGTTATTTAAGAAGTTCATTTCTTTTTGGGTTTCAATATAACAAAAATTCATTTAACGTCCAACAAACATTTTTTATATTTCTCTAAATATATTTTTATTTATTTTTAAAAATATCTTAAGAAAGAAAAATTTTTAATAAAAATCTGTTCACTTAATCATAATGTTATTATTTTACTATTAAAGACAAAACTACTCAAAAACTATATCATTTTTGTAATGTTTTCTCTTTATCTTCTTTCATCCCATAAGAAGATTGAAAAGCTAACTCTTCTATCCATACTTGGATGATTGTTATTTTTTATTTCTTTTCAGTTCTTTTTATATCTTCGAAACCCTAAAAAAATAGAAAATTTTTTTGTTATTTTAATTTTTTTTTTTGAATTTATTGAAAGAAAAATTAGTTAAGATAGAAGAATTGTAAGTTAAATAAAAAGGTTTTTATTTATATTTTTTTTAAGTATTTTGGTTGTGTTATTCACAGAAGAACTTATTTTCTTTAAACAAGAAAAAATGATTATTATTATTATTACATTAATTATTAATTGTGTAAACACTAAAGAATGTGGACCAACGGGGTTTTCAAGTGAATTAAATTGTGTTGATTGTTATGAAGACAAATATCTTGAGAATGGAGATTGTGTTGGTTTGTTTCGTAATTATTTATAAAAAAGTTTTTGATAAAATTTCTATAAACCAAAAATAATATTTTAGAATTATTAAGTTCAATATGTAATAAAGCAATAAATGGAACATGTGTTGAATGCACATCAGGTTATTGTGATGTATTTGGTGAATGCCGGAGATGTCATGGATCATATTTTTTTAATTCTATTAAATATGAAAATCATTATTTTTCATTATCAAGTTCACATTGTACCTCAGAGTTTTTCGCTGAATGTAAAAGATGTGAAGAAGGATATTATTTATATTCAAATATTTGTGTTTCTCCTTTTCATCTTATAGATAAATGTATGGATTCAAGAAAAGAAGGAAATGATTATATATGTTCTGTATGTGAAGAGAATTATTATTCATTAGGAAATAGTTGTGAATTATGTACTTCATTAGAAGGATGTATTAGTTGTGAGAATGTAGTACCAAGTATGTTATCTAGTTACAAGTATTGTTATTCTTGTAAATCAGGGTATTACTTATTTGATGGTCAGTGTATTAGAATTCCTTATTGTCAAGAAAATAATAATGATATTTGTATTCAATGTGAACCAAATTATTTGTTAATAAATGGAAGTTGCTTTTTTTATTCTGATTTTCATTGTTCTTCTGTTATTTCAAATATTTGTGAAGAATGTGAAGATTATTATTTTCTTAATTCTAATTCTTTATGTTCTTCATGTAGTTCTAATTGTATTAATTGTATTGATTCATTACAATGTAAAATTTGTGAAGAAGGATTAACTTTATATGAAGGAAAATGTATTGAATGTAATATAAATGGATGTGAAAGTTGTTCAGTAGATAGTTATAATTGTTTACAATGTAAAAAAGGATATTATTTAGATGATAGAAGTTGTAAATCATGTAATATATTTGGCAACTGTACCGAATGTACAATATCTGGATGTATTCAATGTGATTTAAATAATATATTAAATGAAATTAACTGTGTTGAATGTAATTCAATTATTTCTAATTGCACTTCATGTTATCAAAATGGTACATGTTCTAATTGTATTTCACCAACAACAATTCTTAATGAAAATGAATGTGTTCAATGTTCTGAAGTATTTGATAACTGTATAGAATGTTCATTATCTGGTTGTACAACATGTAAAAAAGGAAATTATTTAAATTCTACTTGTTATCCATGTGAGGATATTACAGGTTGTTCTACTTGTTCTCAAACAGAAAGTAAATGTTTTTCATGTATTGAAGGTTATAAACATGATCCTTTAACGTATTCATGTAAAGACTGTCAAACTCTACATCAATGGTGTTTAGCTTGTAATTCTGAAATGGAATGTATTGATTGTGAAAAAGAATATATTCTAATAGATGGAAGGTGTATTCCTTGTATTAAAGATTCAACACAAGAATGTATTAAAGGGCCTTCTAATTGTGATGTTTTTGTTAATAATTCTTTTTGTATTGACTGTGATAATGGTTATGTTCTTAGATCTGGATATTGTTATAAATACTTAAATAATATAAATTGTATTTCAATTAATTCTAATTTAAATATTGGTTGTGAAGGATGTAAAAATTCTCTTACACTTGATGGACAATGTTCTTCTAATGAAAAAACAAATAATTGTTCATTTTATATTAAAAAATCTTCTTCTGAACAAGAATGTATTCCATATTATTCATCTTCTATTCAATTAGATAATTGTTTAATTGTAAAACAAGGAAGATGTGTTCAATGCAAATATAATTATTATTTAAATAATCAAAATCCACCTATTTGTTCTAAATGTGATTCAACATGTTCTGAATGTTCTATAACTTCAACTCACTGTTTAAGTTGTTCTTCGAGATTAGTTATGTCAGATATTACTACTGGAATTTGTAGTGTTTTACCAGAATGTACTTCTGGAACTACATTTTGTAACCAATGTTTAAATGGTTATTATTTATTAAATTCTAAATGTAATAAATGTTCATTACCTCATTGTGTTCAATGTTATTATGGGACAGATAATGAAATATGTTCTCAATGTGATGAAGAAAGTGTTCTTATTAATGGAAGTTGTGTTTTAACAACTGATGCTCATTGTGCATCTATTCAAAAAGAGACAAGTCTTTGTAAAAGTTGTGAAGTTAATTATTCTTTTGGAATGAAAACAGAATCAAATAACTGTATTTATTCTGATTCATGTAAATATTCAATAAATGGTAATTGTGTATTATGTAAATTAGAATATCAATTAACAAAAAATAATAATAGAAAATGGGTTTGCCTTAATAAAACTATAGACGAACATTGTTCTATTTCATCTCCTTATGGATGTCTTCGTTGTATGACTGGGTATTATTTAAAAGATGGAATTTGTTCTTCATGCGATAATAATTGTAGAAGATGTTTTAATAATTCTAAAGAGTGTATTGATTGTGAACTTGGAATGAAGGTTGATGATTCAACTTCAAAATGTTATTCATTAGGTAATTCATCTCTTGGATGTCTCTATTATCTTCATAATTCATATGGATGTGCTATATGTAAAAATGGATATTTTGTATCAAATTTAACTTGTTTTCATTGTAATGAAGCATGTAAAACATGTATAAATGAAGATTCTTGTATTGAGTGTAATGAAGATAAAGGATATTTTAAAGATATTGATAATAGATGTTATCTTAATACTACAATTAAACATTGTCTTTCTTCTAATGGGAATGGATGTACAAAATGTGAAAATGGATATTTCATTAATAAAACTCGTTGTGGTAAATGTTCAGCGAATTGTGAGTATTGTTCAACATTAGATCAATGTGATAGTTGTGAAAATAAATATATATTAATAAAAGGAAAATGTGTTATTTATTCAGACATTGATTATTGTGTTTCAGCTGAAAATTCAAGATGTTCATATTGTCTTGGAAATCATGAGGTTTCATCAAATGGAACATATTGTGATTATAAATTAAATTATGTTTTAGTTGTAGGACTTCCAGTAATATTACTATCAATAATATTATTAATAATTGTTTTAAATATAATAATAATTTCAGCTATTATTTATAAATGTTCAAAATCAAAGAAAAAAGTAGAAGAATTAACGATATTTGATATGAAAACAACAAATATTAAATTTATGACTATTGACCAAAACTCTGGATTATCTATAAATAAAAATGAAGTTAATTTTATGTTTGATGAAAATAATTTATCAGAATTACCAATAGAACAAGAGACTAGAGATATTATTTGTATTGGTAATTTAAAAACTAAAACATTAAAAGTTCAATTAGTTTTAAAAGATCAAAGTGCTAAATTTGATATTAAAATAGAACCTCCTATTGCAATAATTAAAAAAGGAAAAGCAGTTGAAATTCAAATTATAGTTATACCACATTGTACATGTACTATAACCGAAACGATGGTTCTTCTTGCTGTAAATCTTAAAAAAGGAAAACAAATTGAATATCCAATTAAAATTAAATTTTCAACAATACTATCAAGTCATTTAGACCCAGATGAGTTAATAATAGAAAATAAATTAGGAGAAGGATCATTTGGAATAGTTTATCTAGGAATGTTTAGAGGAAATAAAGTAGCAATTAAGAAAATGAAGCAATTGACATGTGAAGAATGTTCAAAACAGTTAGAAGAATTTCAAGAAGAAGTAGCTATGTTAGACAAATTTAGAAATGAATACATCATTCATTTTTTTGGGGCAGTATTTATTCCAAATAAAATATCTATTGTAACAGAGTATGCACAATATGGTTCATTAAATTATTTAATAAAACATAAAGAAAGACTTGAAACTTATAAATTAAATAAGTTTCTTTTGGATGCAGCAAAAGGAATTCAATATCTTCATCAAAACAATATTCTTCATCGTGATATTAAATCAGACAATATTCTTGTTGTATCAATTGATGATAATATTTCAATTAATTGTAAATTAACAGATTTTGGAAGTGCAAGAAATATTAATATGATGATAACAAATATGACATTTACTAAAGGAATAGGAACTCCTGCATATATGGCACCAGAAATACTTAATAAAAATCATTATAAAATGCCAGCAGATATTTATTCATTTGCAGTTACAATGTATGAAGTATGGAATTGGAATATTGTTTATAAGGATAAATCAAGATTTCATTATCCATGGGATATAGCAACATTTGTAACAAAAGGATTAAGACTAGAACAAACAGAACTTATTACAGATGAACAATATGATATTATTACTCATAGTTGGAATTTAGAACCAAAAGAACGGATGAAAATTGATGAAATTATAAATAGAATGGAACAATTAAAAAATTAATGAATTCAACTAAGCACTTTACTTTTGATTAAGAACCATAACTGTCTCAAACATTTCATTTTCTGTTAACGGTTGGTCTTTGTTTCTAATTAATTTCATTCTTTTACAATGAATGTTACAATGGTGTTGAGAAAAGAATGTAAAAGTACGTTCTTTAATAGAGTATTCAATAAAAAAGAATTTTAATAAATTATTGTGAACGATGTGACATTCTTCTATTTCATATTGATTAGTTTTAGAATGATATCTTCCTTTATCAATAATAACAATTCCATTTTCTTTGCTTTCATAATAATTCCAATGCATAAAACATTCTAATGTAAGACTTTCTTTACATGCATTTCCTTTAAATATTTTTTTTCCTTTTGCTTTATGCTCAATATAATATACTTCTTTTCCTTTTAACCTTTTTATTATTTCTTCTTTTGAATAATTCCAATTATCATTTTTAAATAATTCATTTGTATCATTTTGAATAAATAATCTTCTTGGAAGTATTTTTATTGTTTTACTGTTATATCCATTACTTGTTTGTTTACTAAATTTTTCTCCCATATAACATGCCCAGCTTCTTTGAAGAATTTCTTCAAAATAAATAGCCAATTCTCTTCTTTCTTCGTTCATGTCTTTCATTAACTTTCCTTCTAATCCATCAAAAAAACAATCATATTCAGCAAATCTTTGATCTTCACTCCATCTACTACACTCAACTTTTCTTTTTACATTAACTCTATGAACTGTATAAAAAGTAGGACTTGAAGTATTATCAAAATGTTCTTCTTCCCAATACTCTTTTGGTACTTCAATTATATATCCACTAATTGATTCTTCTTTATTACTTGTTGGTTTTTTTGGATAAAGAATATCGTGTTGAAGAATAAGTTTTGAATTTGTAAAACATTTTTGTTGTAATTGAACAACTTGTTCATATAAAGATGGTAATGTTAATTGTATTGAAACTGAAACTTCTTTTAGGTTTTTATTAATATGAGAACAACACGCCAATGGTAATTCATTTTCAATTAAATGTTGTTTATTTAGTACAAGAATAATATGCTTTTGAATACTACTCCATTTTATGATCCTTAGTAATTCAATAAAAACTTTCCCTAATGAAATAAAAGAATTTTCGTGTCGTCTTTTAGAAAGATAACGAAGAGCTTTTAGTGCTTTTTCATATGGATTAAATTGTGTAACTTTCATTTGGCTTCCACAATAAACAAGGCATATTTTTGTTTGTGGTTGATTAAACTGATTTAATAAAGCGTACTGTTGTTCAAAAATACTGTCAAATATAATCACTACATCTGCTGAAATTTCTTTTTGTTGAATAATTTCTTTACTTTCAATAATTCCATTCATTTGTTTAGCTATTTCAATACGGTGTTGAATGAATGATAATTCATCCCGACGAATTTCTTGTTCACTCTTCATAAAGAAAGATAATTTTTTTTAAGTTCTTTTTTTTTAAGATTAAAAATGAAAATTAAATGAAGTTAAAAAAAAAAAATAAATGAGATTTATCATTTTAATGAGATTGAAAATGATCATTTTTTGATTTAATGAATGACCCAATAACAATAATCGCAACAATAACAATTGCAATACCAACAAATACTCCAATAAATATTTTAAATCCAACTGTAAATTTTTCCAACTGTTTATTAATTTTTTCAATAGAGCTTTGATTAGAAGAAGAATTCAGTTTAACAGATCTTTTTAAATTAAAAGAATTGTTATTAATTTCTAAATGATTTGGAGAATTTAAATGACTTTTATTTGATAAATGAATTAAAGGAAGAATTTCAGTTTTATTAACGTTTGAAATTAAATGAATTTGTTTTCCATTTCCTGAGGCAATTTTTCCATGCTGAAGTTTAGTTTTATTTTTTAAAGTAATAGGGATAGTATAAACAGTTATTCTTACAGTTCCTTTTTTTATTAAATTAGCACCTACACGAATTAGTGCATTAATTGGTTTATTTCCTTTTGGAATATATTCAATAATAGAACCTTTCCATCTTCTACAGTTTCTTGTTGTTGTTTGAAGACATTCTTTATTATACATTAAAGTAATAGATGTCTTTACATTTGTGTCATGATTACATGTTGATACTCTAAGCATTTTATTTGGTGGAATAATAACTGGGATATAATATCCTGTAATTGGTGCTTTTTTATTGCAAAAATCTTGTTTTCTAGTAAATAAACTAACATTTAATACTGGAGTAAAATATGGAAATTCTGTTATTTTTTTATTTAATTGAACAATCGTTGATTTTTCTTTTCTTTTTCTTTCTTTGTTTATTTCTTGATTAGTTTTTATACCTTTGACTTTTCGTTTTATATTTCTTTGATTTACTCCTTTCCAAAATTCGTTTATAAATTTATCTGTAGCCTCTATACTTTCATCTGCTTTTTTCATTACTCCCCAAATTTCTTTAGCACTCATTTTTGTACGTTTAGATAATACATTATTTAAAAAAAATATTCCAATTATAATTAAATGTATCATTTTAATTCTTTTTTATTTGTTCGTTCTTTATTTTTTAGTTTTCTTTTTTCTAAAAACTAATTTATTAAAAAAATTAGAATAAAAAAGATTTGAATTTTTTGTCTTTTCTTAAAGATATAATCCATCTGGAACTCCTTCTTTCTTTCTATACATGACCTTTTCTTTTGCTTTCTTAAAGTCTTCTTGATTAACTTTCATTCTTCTTTCTCTTAGTGCTAATAAACCTGCTTCAGTACAAATAGCTTTGATATCAGCTCCAGATAAATCATCCTTTGACATAACAAATTCTTCCATATCAACACCTTCTTCTAATGTCATTTTAGATGTATGAATCTCAAAAATTTTTCTTTTGGTTTTGATATCTGGTAATGGGAATTCAATCTTTCTATCAATTCTTCCTGGTCTGATAAGTGCTGAATCTAATGACTCAATTCTATTTGTAGCAATAATAACTTTTACTTCTCCTCGAGTATCAAATCCATCAAGTTGATTTAAGAGTTCTAACATTGTTCTTTGAATTTCTTTTTCTCCTCCTGAATGTGCGTCATAACGTTTAGTACCAACAGCATCAATTTCATCAATAAAAACAATAGAAGGGGCACTGTCTTTGGCTGCTTGGAACAATTCTCTTACTAATTTAGGTCCATCTCCAAGATATTTTTGAATTAATTCAGATCCAACAATACGTAAAAATGTTGCTGATGTTTCATTTGCAACAGCTTTAGCCAATAAAGTTTTTCCTGTTCCTGGAGGTCCATAAAGAATTACTCCTTTTGGTGGTTTAATGCCAATTTCTTCATATAACTCTGGATGACTTAATGGAAGTTCAACAGCTTCCTTAATTTCTTGAATTTGTTTTTCTAAACCACCAACATCTGCATAACTTTCTAATGGTGCTTTGTCTACTTTCATTACAGAAACATGAGGGTCCTCATCATTTTGTAATACTCCAACAATAGCTTTATTATGGTTATGAGTAAGAACTTGTACTCCTGGTTCTAATAATTCTCTATCTACTATAGAAAGAACTGGAACATAATATTGCATTGTATTTCCACTAGAAATAATAGCATGATGGTCATCAATCATTTCATGTAATTTACTAACTTCTAATGGACTTCCTCTAAGTTCTTCAACTTTTTGTCTTGAATCCTTTTCTAATTCTTCTTTTGGTTTTATTTGTTCTTGGTTTTCAATAAAATCTCTTTGAATTAATAAGATATCTTTTAATCGTTCTAATCTTAATTTTTTAAGATTGCACTGTGTTCTAGGATTAATTTGTGGTAATTTATTATTATTACCATATTCTCTTAATCTTTTTTTTCCAAGAGTCATACTCATCTCTTTTCTCTTTTTTCTTAATTAATTAAAGTTCTTCTTTTTTATTTTTCCTTTTGAAGTTTTTATTTTTTATTTTTTAATAACAAATTATTTTTTCATTTTTATGTTTTTTAAATTTGGTATTTCAATAATAAATCTAATATAAAAAAAACCAACCCTTCTTAACTATAATTAATAGTAAATATACTAAAAAATATAATGATAAAATGATATTGAAAAGATAAAATGAAAAGAAAAAGAGTGAAAAAAAGGGACGGGACTGAACTAAAATTCAACAAGACCAAAAATAAAATGAGTAAAGAAGCAATTAACCGAGGAGATCCTCAAGCCAATCAATACTTCCCATCATATGGATCTGCTTATAGTTATTACCAACACCAAAATAAAATACTCTTACAAAAACGTGAAGAACTTAAACATGAATTATTAATTACTCAAAAACTCTGGTCTGCTTTCCCAAGTGTAGATGAGTATATTGCTACAAAACGCCCACTTGAAATTAAAACAGAAACTAAACCATCAAACCAACAAACTTCTATTTCTTCTGTAAATTGTAAACCACCAGAAATTAGATTGTCAACTGCTAAAGTCTTTAGATATCGTCCGTTTTCATTAATCCTTACAATGAGTTCAACTTGGAGAGAAAATAAAGGTTTAACATACGAACAAGTCTTCCAAGCTGTTGCTGCACTAAAATGCAAAAAGGAAGGAGAAGAAGAAGAGTTTGCGACATGTGCTCAATGTAGTGGAAAACAAATAATTGAAATTGGAAGTTCATCTGGAACTTCATACCAACCAACAGTCTCAGATGATAAAACAGAAATGTATATATTTGACCACTGTAAAACAAATTGTTCTTCCTCAAGAGATCATCATAAAAAGAAGTTACAAATTGTTATTACATTAGCTGATGAAAAAATTATAACTGTTCCATTTAGTATTCAAGCAAGAGAAAAGAAAACAAGTAAGGTTAAACCAAATACTATTCAACCTCATAAAATTACTTCTTCAAATTCTCCTCTATCAAATTCTATGAACCAATTTAATATTCCTGGACAGCCAGGTCTTCCTAATCAGCAATCACAACAAACAACATTTCAAACTTATCAAGGAACTTTCAATCAAATTTTGCCTCAAACAAATAATGATTCATCTGAACGAGTAGCATTATTTGTATTTTCTACTTGTTTACAACCACCTCAAATAATTGAACTAATCAATGACTATAAAAATTATATCTCTAGAATAGAAGGTTTTGTAAATTTAAGAGTATCATTTTTAGAGGGTCTCTTCTTTGTTTTTGCTTATTTTATGGATGTTGCTCATGCAGAAGAATGTGTGTCAATAACAAAATTATATTTAAGCAATGATATTCGATATCCAAATATTTACAAAAAGAAATTATCGGACGATAACATTGCAGTAACTCTCTCCATTTTTTACAATTGGAATGATTCAGGACAATTACCAACATCATTCTTTTCACAACCATTTTAAATATTACTTTATGTTCCTTTTTTTATTTTTATAATTTTTTTGTTTTAAAAGAAAGTTCAAAACCAGATGAAAAGAAAAATATAATAAAATGATGAACTTAGAAATAAACTAAGTAAGAAGAAACAATGTTACAATGGGTTTTATTTATAAGTATTATAACTGATGTTTTGTTGTGTTGGGTTTCTTATTTTAAAAAGATTGATTCATTAAGGGTGATTACTAAACCAATGTTTTGTTTATTATTATTAATATTTGTTATAACATCAATTGATTTAAATACCCACGTAACATTGTTTTGTGTAGGTCTTTTCTTCTCATTTTTAGGAGATTTATTATTGTTAATGGATGGCCTTCAATGGTTTGCGTGTGGTTTAGTGTCATTTTTAACATGTCATATCTGTAATATTATTGGTTATTCATTAACATTACACCCTGGAATTACTCTTCCTTCTTTTCTTATTTTATTAATTGGTTGTATTTCTTCAATTCCTTTAATGCAAGGTGCAAAATCTAAAACTCAAAAATTATTTACTCTTCCTGTCCATGTTTATTCTTGTGGTTTGACTGGTGGTTCTTTTTGTGCTTTTGCTACTTTAGGTTCAATTACTGGACAAAATTGGAATTTACTATCTGCTTGGATGACTGCAATTGGATATCTCTTTTTTGATATTAGTGATGCATTTTTGGCTTATCACACTTTTGTTCACAAGACTTTGTTTAGTACTATGGCAATCATTACTACTTATCACATTGCCCAATTACTTTTGATGGGTGGTTTGATTTATAATGAACTTGGAAATGATGTGATTTCTTCATTAATTTAAACAACCTTGTTTTATATATCATTTTATTTTTAATTTAACAAAAAAAAACTGTTTTTTAATAACCAAAAATCATTTAATTAAATGACACTGATGTAGCATACTTTAAAAGGAAAAATTTAATTCATTAAGAACACCTTTAAAACATGAGTGACTAAACAGTTATGTTTTTAAGAGTTGTACTTCTGTAGCTTATTATGACCCTTTGAATAAAGTTCTTTCTACTATTAGTGATGAAGGAGGGAATAACCAAATTCCATCATGGGTAAGTTTCACTAAAATGGAAGATAGTGGGTGTTATTGTTGGAAACGGAGCAAAGAATGAAACTTTTGGTGAGTGTGTTTTATATGATCCTAAACGAATTATAGGAAGTGACATACGTGATATTAGTGATGAAGATAAAATTCATTGGCCATTTACAATACAAGGAAATGAGAATGAAAAGGCATGTATGGAGGTATACAATCCTCTTACACAAGAAAATGAAATATTTGAACCAGAAGAAATATCAGGAATGATATTAAAATATCTTAGTTTTATGGCTAAATCAAAATTAAAAAATACACAAATTAGCAATGTTATTATTACAAGTCCTACAGAATTTGATGATAAAAAAAGAAATGCTATTTTAGCTGCTTGTAAATTGGCAGGAATAGAAAATGTTGGACTAGCTAATGAGCCAGTAGCAGCTCTTTTAGAGTACAAGAGAACTCACAACGATATTCTTAGTAATGGCTCTAAAGTTGTTGTAATAGACTTTGGAGGAGGAACATTAGATATTTGTTGTTGTAAGATACAAGGAAATGAAACTAACACTATATCTATTGGAGGAGATAAGAATTTAGGAGGGAATGATTTTGATTCAGCATTGATGGAATTAATAGAAAAGAAGATTTATTCATCTGAATTGGTTGATAAAACATATTTCAAAAAAAGACAAGGAATGTCCCATTGTGAAAAGGAAAAAATAATTAAAGCTATTAACAGATTAAAGAAAGAGGCTGAACGAGTTAAAATTGAACTGAGTAAAAGAATAGATTGCGAAATAAATTTAAGTTACTTGTTAGCAGATGCTTATAGTGAAGATATTGATATAGTTTTAAGTGTTTCAAGGAAAGAGTTTGAACAAGTTTGCGAAAGTAAAGGATTATACAAAAGACTTATTTCAAAGATAGAGAAGTCACAGGGCC